TTGCGTAAAACAGAAAACAGTAAGAGAAAACAATAAGAGAACACTAATATAAAAACTACACTTTCCAATTCATAAAATATTAGTATTTAAAAAACAGTTACTTTGGAGAGCAAGCGGGGCATATTTGTAATGATTCATGTAAAAGGAGATCACAATCTAAGCAAAAAACAGATTCGCAGTTTTTGCACGAAAAGCATTTTTCGTCCAATATTCTATCGCAGCCAAAGCAGGTTCTAAAAAAGAATAGATTACAGAGTAAAAGCGACGGAAGAAGCGAAAATGAAACCGCTGATAACACTGCTTAAATCCCTTACTCTCCTTCTTTTGAATCTATTTCTTTGAATGCAGCAAGAGGTAACAAATGTAGAAATGATCTAGCCAACTGAGGTGCGGATATCAGGGTCAACTTGCAAATACGACATTCGACGGGTAAGCTACAATAACGCGCGCCACACTGGGGACAGAGAAAGCCTCGGCCTAACGGTTCGCGTTGTTCCGATTGGTGACTTCAAAAGTCGTAAGTTTTAATTATTATGACGCAGAGGGAATCTTAAGCTTGAAAACAAAGAAATCAGCTGGAAGGCGATTAGGACTCTCGTCCCATGCTATAAAGGAAGGCCAAAAAAACTACCATAAACAAAAGGTTACGTCTTCAATGTTCTGTCTTGAAGGAAATCCCATCCGTACAACACTTGTTTCAAAGTCTTTTTTAGCCTTCGGAGGATTGACGTGCTCGCCAAGAAGAATTTCAAAATGTGACTTATCTAATACAACGTCGTATCGCCCTGAAACACTGTATTCTGTCATTTAAAAAGCGACCATGAACCTTAAACAAATTCCTCATCCCCCGCTGCTAGACGAGAAGAGCAAAATGCTAACAAACCTACAAGAGTTCAAAAATGGCAGAAAGTAATGACCTCACCTGACGTTGTTGTAGCAAGTTTTTTGTACACAAAGACTTCAGCATTCAAACCAATTACTGAGCATTGAATGTTACTTCTTTTCAGTACCTAAAACTTCAAAAAAGTAAGCACGGTTAAATAAAGCTGGAATATATAACAGTAAACCCGAGAAAAAAGTTTACTTCAAAAGTTGCAAAAATATTTGAAGGGTCACATGTAGATAAACTTGAAATGATTGCGATAACTTCACGACTAGCATATCCAGGCAAATCCCTAAAAATGTTACTCCTCACTGGCCTGGTCTCCAAATGAAACATCTAATAAATCCTAAAGAATAGTAACAAAAGCAAAGAGACTTCAAAAAAAAAAATGATTAAATTATTACTTAAGACTTTTCATGGCTAAGGTGAGGCTATTCTGTAAGGAGAATTCCCCTCGACATGAGAGCTCTGTCAGTGTAGAAAGTGCTTCCTTGACTAACCGAACATTGCCTAAAAACTTACTTTATTACTAGCTTTTTCTGAGCCAGACTTGTGTTCCCAAATAGCTAAGCCAGTGGAGAAAAAGAAGTGTAAGAAACCTGTGAGCGGAATTAAGCGTTCTGTCCGCTTGTCTTTACAAACTATAATTCCAAGTTGAGAAATCGGGTTAGCCTCAGAAAATTTTTCAACGAAATGATCAAGTGCCTGGAAATAAGTTTAATTAACAATGAAAGACACAGTTAACGAACATTTATTACAAACAGCAATCTCCGTCGTTATAAGTGTGACGGGAAAACAATTTAAAGCCATTGCACATAAAATGTAGCAGGCTGAACCAGAAAAATACCTTTAGAGTGACATTCAGATGAGTAGTTGAAAGCGATTTCTCAGCCATAGTCGATGAACAGTCAATAATAATATAAACATACCTCATCTGCAATAACAATTAAGCTTTGACAAAGACAAAGAAAGTCTGTTTAGGTACCGTAATATCATGAATTCGTCAGAACTGTACAATTCATCTTCAAAAATAAGTTTCCTTTAAACGCAAGAATTACTGCCTGTTGTGACAAATCATCGACTTGTTTAAAATGTAATTTGAGTGAAAAATTAGATGCCAAGAAGCTTACAATTCCTAGGCGAACTTTCACAGGACGATCAACTTGTCTCCTTTTTTTCTTCGCTTCCAAGATTAACCGCATGACAGACTTCTCTACAGAACCCGTTTCATCTTCTTGTAGAACTTCGCGAATATTCAACCCTAAAAAATCTAGCTATTTTCAAAGAAATAAAATTGAAATGATGTAACAGATTTCTGATGTTCATCCTTTAAATTTAATAAAGTGAAAAACCACGATGAGATGTAAAAAAAACCTTCGGCATAAGCCGTCTCCCATGTGTATCCCTTCTGTTCCTCATCGTTTATCATCTTCTAATCAGACATACAGAACAATGCTTTACAGACAGAACTTCCTAAAGTACTCTCGTCACAACGCTATTTAATTAACATTTAAAGAAGAAACTCGATCAACTGGATAAACAACAGGCAAAAAAAAGATTCTTTTCAAAATTAATTTAGATAGCCATATACAGAAAGTTCAATTAGTAAATATACTACCCGTCAAACAAAAGTGATATACATATGCACCGTAAAAACAGAATCGTTCAAAGCTAGTCGGCTGCTAACGCTATCCAACCAAAATCCTAGTCAAAACTGTCACCGAACTTTGCGTCTGCTAAACTAAATCATTAAAGTTCACCAAAGCGACGAACTTTTCTTTTACGCTTGAATTTATAACTCTGAATAAATCGCGTCGGGATCAGCGCAGCCCATCAGCCTAATGTCTATTTAAAAACTTTTAAGCCAGATTAACAACGGCTTGGCAGCGTTAAACTTTGCTAAACCAGAATGTATGTATACAAGCCTGGTTTTCTCAGTTTTTCGTAAATTTCAAGTAAACCTATGATTTGAAAGTTTTAAACCAAGTTGAATGATTGAGTCCTGTGACAAACGAATTTTTTTCCAAAATTTTAACGATGTTTCAGGAGTCTGATTACTGTAATCTGCTACTTTTTACTTCTAATTCCCTTGTGCACTCTCAGGTCCTGTAATTTGAGAGGGTATATAGGACTAATAGAGTTGCGATATTCTGAAACATCTCGCAAACGTTTTAAAAGCTTTTTCGGTTTTTTACGCTTGATTTCATACTGACTGAAATCTTCCAAAAAATTTTTAAGTCTTTTAGCCAAACATGTATTTATGCAGCTTATTCATTTTTATCTATATTTTAGTACTGCTTCATGTTGACTAACTTGGTAAACAGTAGGGTTGCTAGCTAGCAAAAATAACCGAAATCAAAATGGTAAGAGAAGAAATAGAGTAGCAGTTAATCTAGGCATGTTATCGTTCTATACGACGTCTCGTGGGCGCTTGGAAAGCTTTTGAATCATTTAAAAGTGAGGAACCATTCATAACTCTTCAAATTGATGTGTATATGGATATGAAAGAAATTCTCAAAAACAAAAGAAGGCTGTTTAATAGAAGAGCTCCACACTATATAAGATTTTGAGTGAAGTGGAAATATGCCGAAATTCTTGTGTTTAGAAGGCGAGGTTCTTGCGAGAAACTGGGGACTGCTTGTCTACATTAAGCACCGTAAAGCTTGTAATTTTTGATGAGACAGATGAAAGCCTTTATGAATGTAGATATCTGTACCCCTAAAGAATCAGTGAAGTTGTTTTTCCAAAGACATGATTTCAATGTGGCTGTTGGTTAAAAAAGCGAAAAATGGTGGGCGAAATCAGATTTTGTACAGCAATTCGGAAATGATAATTTCTGAATTACTTTCTTTTAAAAATTTGTTAAACGAATTTTCTCTTGCCGGAATCAACCAGATTCGACTTACAACTCAAAGAGAAAATGGTTTGTATTTTTAGGGTTTTATTGATCAAGTTCATTGGAGTATAATTTGAAGAAGATACTGTGACCACATGTTGGCTTTTCTGGGTTTTTGAAACCAATTTTTGAGGCAAAAAAAACTCTTGTTTTGCAGTACATGTCGCTGCTTTCACTCAAAACTGAGTGACAGCAGAAAGAGAGTAAGAAAATTTAATGACTAGGTCAAATATTGCTGCACAATTTTGAAGAAAGGGAACAAGAAGAAGTCGTGTTAACATGATACTCTAACAAAGCACTTCCGGGGTCCAGCAATAGTTGGGACTGTGTACTGTTCGTTTTTTCTGTTCTGGTAAAAAAAAGCGTTTGTGTCCTTTGGGAAGCCAAAGGGTAGAATAACTCAAAAGAGAACCTTTGTTAATAGTTGCTGGAACTGCAATTTCATTGTTTTTATTATTTTTATCAATCACCTTGAATCAGTTGGAAGAAGTTTATTCTCTGCCTTCTACTGAAATTTTTTCAAATTTTACTGAATTCTGTCCAATTTAGAGCTTCTTTGCAGGTCAGAGAGAATTTTCAAGCTTTGTGTTGTAAAATTTATTGTTAAGATTTAGTAAGCTTTTTCTTTTTCTAGGGCTTTCCTCCTATTTGTTTTGTCTCCTCTGTCTTCTCGGCAAACTCAAAATTTCTATAAATATTGCCAGCCTTCTGATTGGGCTGATATTTATATAATCTGAAATGCTTTCTTTCTTTCTCTTAGGAAATAAAACACTCCGTATGCGTCTCTCGTTTTACATTAAGTTGGTAGAGATTATAAGGAATAGCATATAAAACCTAGATTATAAGGAGTTTGATATAAGAGAACCGTCTAGGTAAATGAGAATAAATTACCGTGTTCCGATAAAAGAGAAACTGACCGTAATACAGTAGGTTTAGTTGGGCCCTAAATCAACTCAAGTTACTGTAGAGGCAGGCTAACTCCACTACAGTACATTAATCATGCCAAAAGCTATCGGAAAGCTCTGTCCGGCATATTGCGAGTTTTGCAAGCTCTTGGGAAACACAGTACGATCATGGTTGGGTAAGCTGTCGATAAGTTATCAATGAGCTGTATACTGGAGAGGATTCAGAGGGTAGGACTGACAGTGCAGAATTGTTTTTCCTGTTGAATATGAGTGGACCGATTGTTTAGGATTTAGGATTGGTGAGATTCTGTCAAACTGTAGCGTTTTTCCAGATTGTTTTATCTTTGCATTTTTCATCATACTTTTTCAATAGTTCTTATGATTTTTACTTCAGTTCTGTTACTTGGAATCCATGCTACCTATAAAGTTACCAAACATAGACTGCAGCAAGCAATAGAGAACAGTTAACGGATTTCAGAAATACACATCCAATATCTGACCTTACAAACCCTTTTAAAGAATTCCGGTTTACTGGCAGTGTAAACGTGAGTCTTAAAAAAAGGCAAGGGACCAAAATTACTAAAAATCTAACAGAATGTTACAACATATTTCAACGTCATTGTTTCCAAAGGCCATGATGAGGTATGATACCTGAGAATAATCCTGGAATTTCAAAGCAAAATATAAAACTTCCAAAACACTGGCAATTTTTTTAAAGGATGCAGCTATTTAACTTGTTTCAAGTTTCTGAATTGCAGTTTTTGAGAATATTACGGAGTACTCAAAAACTATAGCCATTTATTAAGTTAGGAAAGTCTAACCATGTTAATAAACGGTCACTTGACCTCAAGCGCTCCTTAAAATTTTGAACTTATTGAGAACAAATGAGCTGCATTGGTCTCATCACGATTTATATAGAGTAATGAATTTATAAGCATACTGTCATTTCAAAATAGTTCATCCTAATAAAAATTGCTGCGGGAAATTCGAAGTTTATTCAGCCGGCTGCAAAAGCAGAAACCGGTTTTCTTGAGCCGTTGTCAACGCTGCACTGCAAAACTTCCTTGTTTTTTTATAAAAGGTCAAATCACTTTCAATTCGTTCACTGGTTTGGTGACTGTTTTTTTACTTAATATTTCTCAACTCTCTGCAATAATCAGCATACCAAAAAAATAAAAGGTTCTTTACCGGTTAACACTTGCTAAACGTAAGCAAATCTTTGTGCACAAATTTTTATACCGTTTATTAATATGGCTAACCCTGCTTAAAATGTTAAAAAAGTAATTTTGTAATATTCACTTCCCAACAACAGTCCACTGAATTAAGTGGATTAAGTGTACGTGAACAGATTTGATAGACTTTTCTTTCAAAATAAAGATGCGGAAATAGCGTTTTAAAAGTTTTTTGCTTAAAACTTCTGAAACAGAAGACAGATATAATCGGCATTTTTGTTTGCACCACAGATTTTGTTGAGACCGTTTTTTACATCACAATCGAGTTTGGTATTGTGTTTTTTTCTTTTTCCAGTCGTTTCAACAGAGATTTCACTTGTTAAAAAAGCGGCCTTTCTCTAACTGCTGATAAAAGCTGAAAATTTCGCAGCAGTTAGAGAAAGG